ATATGACGATTATCTATAATTATTTAGAAGGTTTAAATGTTAAGGTTATTTACATATAATTCAAATAACTCTGATATTTAACATGGTTAATGTCAACTATCAAAATGGAGTAAAAAATTCACTAGCTAAAGAATTTTTTATATTTTTAGATAACCAACTAAAATGAGTTTTGGATTAAGAATAATATTTTCAATTACATTATTATAAAAATAATTATTATTGAAAAATAATGTTTTAGTAACTGAAATTATAAGAAAGAAATATTTTTTAAGAGATATCAACACACCAAATACGAGTTCAAGTAGTAGTAAAAGAGTTAAGTCTTATCCAAAGAGTCATTCATTGTCTCAACATTTGATTGCTTTGCCATAAATATGAGTTATTATTTTGATTCCTGACTATTTTTAGGATCCAATGACACTGACAAGAATGATATCAAAAAAATAGAAGAAATGGTTAATTTTTTATGTAGTTAATATCTAATGACTATCTATATTTACTGAGAAAGTGTAAATTTTAAGATTACTAAAATACAATCCAAATAACTTAAATATTTGACATGATTAATGTCCGCGCATCCGCGCGGGTACTAATACTAGTATATATATAAAAGAGGGAAAACAAATGCTGACATGATACATCTCTATAGCCAAGAAGCCTATTTATCTTTTTTTTTTCTCCTTTTTTTTTTTGCTTTTTTTTTCTTACCTTTTTCTTTCTATCACTTTCTTTTTATCTCTCGGCAGTTTAGAGCCATTATTACAAAAATAAACGTAGTATTAAAACTTATTCATTAGCTGGAGGGTAACATACTGATAATAAAGCGGGTCAATCATTCACCAAAATTAACCTCTTCGGTGACTATTAAAAAGGCATTTATGATAATTGTTATACTTCCAAACGCATGTAACGTCCCTGGGGATTAAAGAAGTAATTAATTTATTTAATTCTCTCAAAAAGCTGCATAGTATTCAAACCAAGACTATAAAGAACCCCTCATACCAAGTTATCAGTCACTACCAACAAGAAGAATTTTGAAGAGGTTGCCATTATCCCTTTCAAAGATCCCCGCGATAACACAGGTTTTTCTAATCATTAACCCTTTGTTAGCCTCATCTATTTATACTAATATCATATAGTGTCACTTAAACATGCATTGATTAACTTTCTGTTAATACTGAATATTGAAGTATTCCCTAAAAATGGATCTTTTCTTATTTTAATGTTATTCTGTTAAATTAAAAAAAATTCATGTTGAGAGGGACAATGTTGCCTTATTTCTTTATTTTCTTTAAATCTATCAATTCTATTTGTAGTTTATTTGTTGATGTTCTTGGAAAAATAATTTTTAAATTTTCGCTTGAAATTTGGGGTTTTAACTTGATGTTCTGGAGGTAAGAAATATTTTATATTCATACCATCACTTTATCTTTGAAGGATATTTTTTTTTTGCAATGATTTCATTGTGCAGGAGCCTTCAGTGATTATATATAAATACTAATGGAACAACAAGTAAAAAAATGGCGTCTTGAAGACAAGAATATCCTTTTTTTTTTGGGGCAAAGAAGACAAGAATATCATGAGCGAGTTCAAGAAGAAAACTCACTTAAAATTTTGATGGAATTGATCGAAGTGGAGTATTATACTTTCTTCTCTATAATTTAATATGCTACTCTTTTTTCTCTTCTTTTGTTTCTTTTATATGTTTTTTTATGGAGGAAGGTAAAAAATGTGATTGGTATAGATGAATTTTATGAGATAAGGAATTTTTTTAAGATGCTGGTCCAGTTCTAGGAGGAAAAGGGATTTTGCCTATATTTAGAATAACGATTTTTGTTTAAATACAGGTGAGCGGTGCGGATGGGATGCTTCGGTCTGCATCCATACATCGCTCCTATTCCCGGTGCGCTAAGTGATTAACGAGCCCGGCAACATAGTGTATCAAGGAAAAAAAGATTGCTTAAAAAGAATACTCTTATTTAATTCTTGAAAATCTACACTATTAAATGGATTTCCTCTCTTTCAAAAGAAAATATATCTCCTAATAAGGAAACCAACGGCATGAAAAGCAACAACAACAACCCAGTATTATCTCATTTAGTGGGGTCTGGGGAGGATAGTGTGTACGCAAACTTTACCCCTACCCTAGGGTAGAGAGACTGTTTCCAAATAGACCCCCGACATCCTTCCCTCCAAGAACATCCCACCTTGCTCTTGGGGAGACTCGAACTCTTTGTCAGTACTAATTAACATTTTCTATTCGGTACTCTTTGCCAAGACAAGCGGGAAATGGTAGGGAGAGTATATGATCCATATCCCCACAATGGCCAATGGCCAATGGAAAAGGAACATAAAGAACATAAAATAACTAAAATTTATTCAGAAAAGAGAAGCAAAAGCACTGACCCCACCTAATTAACTGGGTAAAAACTATATTCTATAAGAAGAAAGATAATATTATATTTGGAAAATCTTTTTGTTCAAAGCCTTCCCTGATCAAATTGGGCCATGGAAAACTTAGCATAAAGGAAGCACAGACCCTATTACAACATGAATAATTTATTGAAGATTGATACAGTGCAACAAAGAATACAACAACAAACCTAGCAAATTCCCAGAAGTAGGGTCTTGGGAGGGTGGGATGTACGCAACTTTACCCCTACCCTAAAAGGCAGGAATTTTGCTTATATTTAGAGTAACGATTTTTGTTGAATAAGTGACGGGTAAGAAATAGTTATTAGGAAGGAAATAAAGAAAAAAGGAAAAGGAAGACATGAAAAATGAGAAGAAAATGAAGCACCAAAAAGAACATTAGAACAAGGAGCAAGAAAATAGGTACTCAGTATTTCAAAACTAACATGAGTACCAAAAATACACGATAACATTTGTTTTATACATTACCGTTTGAGAATATTTTTGTAAGTGTTTAAAAATTTTAAGAACAAGGATGAAGAATTATCTTAAACTAACAGATGCCAATATTTGTTTCACTTTCTCAAGTACCATTTTGACACAAATAGTGTTGTTAGTGTTTCAACTGCTTTTAAAAGTATTTTTGTTGGTGAACTTTCTAATAAAATTTAGAAAGAATTTTTGTGAGAATTTGAATAAATTATCTTTGAATAGACAAGTGAAATATCAAGAACGTACTCAAAAGCTATTCTTTGTGAACAAATTGTGATTGCTATTAAATATTAAAGAATTAATCTAATCACAAAAATGAAGACCTTAAAATTAAGAGATATAACTAAAATCAGAATTTGCTTAAAATAATTTTTTATAAAAGATCATAAAGATACATGAATTGAAACTATCTTTTGTTGAGGTAAAAAAAAAAAGTGATACCTAATTAAAGGGTTATCCTTTGGGAAGTTAAAGACAAGAAAAGTATAAGAGAAATTCCTATATATATTCACTTAAATTCTTTATATCACTTTTAAATTAGATAAAGAAGAAAAAGCATGTTTCTTTTACTTCTTTTGCACTTGTACCAAACAACTAAGGAGTCGTTTGGTAGGGTGCATAAGAATAATGCTGAATAAGGTGTATTAATAATGCTGGTATTAGTTATGCTTGCATTAATTATGCTGGTATTAGTTATGCTGATATATTTTTTATCCATTGTTTGGTTTGATGTATTTTTAGTATTGCACAATTTCTACAAGAATTGTTTGTTTACAAAAATATCCTCAAAACTAGTCCACACTCTAACTTTTTACAAGAAACATATGTTGAGAAATGTTTTTATATGAAAAAGTTTAAAAAAATTATTTTATTTGTCTACCTATATTGTAAAATTAAATTAAATATTTATTTATAAAAAGGAAATATGCTAAGTATTTATTTATTTACTAGGGATATAATTTTATTTCTCACTATTTGGATTATTTTGAACTTGCATTAATATACTAACTAGCATATTTTAATCAAGCATAAATTTTGAAGGACAATTTTGCCTTTAACTAAGCTAATGCATGCATTAAAACCCATTACATTGCTAATACCATTGTTTTCTATGCATTAGTTATGCATAGGATAATACCAAATAGAATGTATAACTAATGCCTGCATAGCTAATGCATAGGTTCAAAATGTCTACCAAACAATGTATTATTAATACACAAAGTCAATGCATATATTAGCTTATCTAATGCATCCTACCAAACGACCCCCAAGAAAGTAAACTATAAATCTTTTATGCGAATGAAAAAAACAACAAATTATTCTCCTTTATCTTCATCATTCCCTTTGTTAAACGTACGTGATATGAAAGAACTAGAAAGTTTTAATTTAGCCCTTCACAACCTATTTTTCAAATTTTGTTAAACATTTGAATATTATAAAAGATCATTCCATGCATGAATATAATGTGATCCTTTATGACCACACTTCACTAGTTATTGGTATATATGATAATAATCATTAATTGCTACTTGATAACACAAATTTTATTCTTGTGGTATTTTGTGGTAATAAAATATATTCAAAGTGCAAATAAATTGACAACAATATATTTCATAGTTATTACTATAGATATGTGATTTTTGATCCTCCCCAAGATTTTACATATTTTAGCATGTAAATATTTAGTTTATGTCCAATATAGGTATTTCAACTAATTTCGACTCTTTTACTTTATTTCGTCACAAAAATAAAAATTAAAATTTTTATTTTTTTATTTTTATGTACCTTTCATAAAGCTAAAAAAAATATACAAAAATAGTATCTTATTTTTATTTTAATATGATATTTGAAAATACCAAAAAAATATAGGTTGTTTTAACGGTTAGTCTTATTTTAATAGCTATTTAACTTAAGTAAGATTAATTAGTAAATGAGGTCGTATTTTTAGTCTCGTTTACCGAGAAAGAATAAATTTAGGCTCAAACAACCCATTTTTAGGCCTAATTTTCAAATTTAACCCATAATAATCCAAACCCAATACCATTAAAACCCTAGACTTAGACTATACCCACAGCCTAAAACCCTAGACACACATCTGATCCGCGGTTCTTCGCCAAAACGACCACCCTCATATTTTGGACTTCCTCTCCTTCACATTCAAAAAGCCTGAACCTCAGCTTCTTCACCTTAAACACAAAGCAGCCATAGCCACTGACCAAAAATTAGATCCCTTCCCCCTTAAGCCAGCGCCGTTTCCCCATTCGTCTTCCTCATTTCTTGCTGAACCAGAAACAGAACCTCTCTCTTTAGCAGGAAAGAGACAGCCGCACCCCCCCCTCCACCCACCAACAAAAGGCCTTCTTCTTCCTCCATGAAAGTCTAGCCATGAACACCCAGAAAAGGTCTCAAATTACAGCTCCAAAATACCTTTAAACCAGTCAAAAAACCTTAAACCAATCCTCATTTTCAGGGTCGAGTTCGTCGTGTGGTTATGTTTCGAGTTGAGGTTTTCCGTTAGAGCTCCGACAAAATTCCTGTTGGTAGAGTTCGGTTGTCGTTCATTTTAGCCATTGCTGTACGAATAATTGCTTGGATTTTTTCTGATAATTAAAGTTTGGCAGAGGCAAGCTCAAAGGTCCATTTCACTCTTTTGTTATCATAGCTGTGCCGTGTTTGAATATATTTTCTTAAGCTTTTCTGTGTGTTAATGTCATATTTGTTAACATGTGATTGATTTTGATGTAACTTTATGAAAATCTCTGTTTTGAATTGATTTAGAAAGAATAGAGTTTGACAAAATGGATTGCTAATATACGTGGGCTTTGGGATTAATTAAGAAAGGATGCTTGGGTTGTAGAAGACTGCTACTTTTTTCATTTTGTTGTGTTCTATGAGCCAAATGAAATATTAAAAGGGGGCCTAACCCACCGAATAACTTCAAACAATTTTATTTTGGTTGACTCATTAGCAATTAGATCCCTTTATTAGATTAACTTGTAACTTGTTAAATAGCTGTACACATGGGGTGCAGTAATTCATTTAAATGACGCCAATTTCTAATAAACTTAGTGTATAAAACTTGTTCTCTTACTAATTTGCCAACTATTCAGTCTTACACTTGTTACGATCCATATTTTTCATCCTCGGGAGTCGCGATAACGTCTACTCGTAGAAGTTAGGCAAACCACGAAATTTAGAAAATTCTTTACTTCTTTGTTTTAATCCTTTTAACATCTTGCTTTTAACATGTGATAAATATTTAAATAACAGCGGAATATGAGATTAAGCGAAAGATTTAAACGAAATAAACCAAAATAATACGGAAATCAACATATGCCTCTACCCAGAAATTGGTGTCACAACATTCACGGACTATCTATGATTACTACATACAAACGTCTAAAAGAAGGAACATTGTCTGTCTCGGATATAATGATAACATAAAAAATAACTGATAGAATAGACGTCGGGCCTGCGAATGCCTGCAGGACTACCTCGAAATCTCGGTGGACTGAAGGCTGGCTCCCAAGCTACTGCTGTTGACCTGATGCTGCTCCGGTATCTGCACAAAAGTGCAGAGTGTAGGTAAGTGCCTGGCCTAACCCCGGCGAGGCAGTGACGAGGCGGTAAGTGTCTGGCCTAACCCCGACGAGATAGTGACGAGGCTAGAACCAGATTCCAGATAAACATGTGCAGTTATATGATATACAGCGGAATATAAAGTAGGAATAAACAAGTAAGGATGAGAGGGGGAAACATGCTTCGGGAAATAGTAGGGAAAACAAAATATCAAGAGAGCCATAAAGGAATCAAAATCCAACCACTAACAAGAATAAGGAAAACAAAGGCAGATTTCACTTTCTTTTCACGTCTTGTTGCAGGCGTGCAACCCGATCCCATGTCCTGTGTTTCGTGGCAGGCGTGCCACCCGCTCCCATTTCATTTATCTCGTGGTAGGCGTACCACCCGCTCCCATTTACAAGCCAACAATAATCACAAGGAATCCTGACAAGGGCACAAGAACAATATAACAACTTCCCGGCAAGGAAATAATGATATTTCAACAACATTCGGCAAGGGAACAATAATATCAAATAAACATTCCGGCAAGGAAACAATACTATCAAAACAAATATCCCGACAATGGAACAATGTTGATAATAACATATGAAGTGCAATAAACCACAACGGAGTCATAACAATTATAATACAAGACTCACGGGCATGCTTGACACCAACGTATAGATACTCGTCAACATGCCTATACGTCGTACTCCACAATTAACATGTAGCAAATAAGACACAACTCCTAATCCCTCAAGCTAAGGTTAGACCAAACACTTACCTCGATGCCTCGAACACAACTTAAGTTTCAATTATAGCTTTACCCCTTGATTCCTCCGCCAATTCGCTCGTATCTAGTGATAATAGGTGAATTTAACTATAATTAGGCCCTAAATAACCACCTTCTTGTATAGTTTGGATGATAAAAGTGATAACAAAATACTCTTATTAGTGTTTTTCATGCTTTGCAGGTTATATATGACCAGAGAAGGTTATGGAGTACTTTTGGGATCAAATATGAAGAACAAGAGGCCGATCGTAAAATTTCGTCAAGTAAACCACGCAAAACAGCTCAAGTCAGAACTGAAAGAGGACTGCCGCGGTTCCACTGCGACCGCGGCAGAACCGCGGTAGAAGATGGCTGCAGACAAAGTGAGAATCAGAGAGCGTGTTTGGCCACGGTTTGACCGCGACCGCGGCAGAACCGTGGCAGAGGCGGAGAACTTCAGGGACTAAAGTGCAAAACACGGGATTTTTAGCCCCAAACCCTATTTTAAACATTAGACTTTGCCCAAGAGAGACATGTATTGATTTGGAGAGTATTTTGGCAAGGAAAAACAATTGTGAGAGATCACCCAAAACATCTTTCTTCTTTTCTTTGATTTTTCTTGCAAGTTTTATGATGAATATTGTTTTAGTTTGTTTACCCATAGTTATGAGTAGCTAAATCCTTTGTCTAAGGTTTTGATGGAACCTATTGGGGGATGAACTTCTTGTTTATGTGAATACAAATTGCTAGTCTCAATCTTTATTTGTTCAACTTTGTGCATGTTGTAGTTAATTGACAAGATCCTCAATTAGCTGTGCCTATTTAGTGTGCATAACTCGGGAGAAAGTGCATATTTATGTTATTGTTGAACAACACCACTCCCAAAGTATAAGAGGGATCTATAATTGCGAGTTTAAAGGCGGGATTAGGGATAACGAAGCCTTGAGTGCAATCTAAAGTGAACCGTGT